GACTTCCTGACCTTGACTGTATTTTAGGCATCCCTCCAGGGTCACCCAATGATTGTCCAAAAGGCTCTGCTCATCAGGGTGTAGGGCAGCTCTCCCAGGGCCACAGAGCTCAAAAGGAGCTCCTGGAATCTGCCCTGGCTCTATGGAGTCTGGGTTGGAAGTGAAGGGGCAGGAGATGGTGAGTGAACTGAGGTAGGCTCCTTTTTGTTCCTGCTGCCCCATGTCAGTGATGACCCCAGACTGTTCTACCTCACCAGGAAATAGATGGTAAAGCTTTAACATACTGGTTTTGAATAAATTAACACACTTAAAAAATTAGATTGATATGATAATGCACTTTTGAAGAAGGAGCACAGTCTATTACTTCTGGTGAATAAATTCTCTTATTTCTAAAGTAGATTGAAAGAATATATGAATAAATATTATATATTCACATATGAATGAATTGATGGTTTAATAATGACAAAGCAAGTAATTGTGGAATCTTTCTTTGGCTGTAAAAGCATAGAAGCAAGCTCTAATATAAAATGTAGCCAGTTTTTGAGTGAGTGTGTGTGTGTGTGTGTGTGTGTGTGTATAAAATTTTTATTTGGGTCCAGATTATCAAACCCAAGGTCTTGCACATGCTACATATGTGCTCTACCACAGAGCTACATGGCAGTCCAACAATAAGAATCTTCTATTTTCCTCCCATTCTCCAAACTAGTGTTTTTAAGTTATAATACACCACTATGCTAATTGAATTTTCTTTTTGGCTTTTTAATTTATTACCTCATCTAGAAGTTCCTTTTGGTTCTTAAATAAGAAACATTTAATGAAAGAATTTCTGCCTCTTTTGTTATCAAACATATCTTTGTGATATAATTTATAGTTAAGTTGTTTATAACACTAGAATTGTATTCATGTTGCAGTAATTTATCTTTTTTGGGGGGGTAGTACTGGGTATTGAACCCAGGGGTGCTTAAACACTGAGACACATCTCCAGTCTTTTTTTAACATGTTATTTAGAGATAGGGTCTTACTGAAGGCTTAACGCCTCCATAAATTGCTGAGACTGGCTTTGAACTTGCGATCCTCCTGCCTCAGCCTCCTAAGCTGCTGGAATTACAGGCATGCACCATCGTGCCTGGCTGTAATTTATCTTTTATAGTTCATAAAGATTATAAAGTTTTGAAGTGACAAAAGCATTTATAAAAGTGGCAACTCTTAGCTTCTCAAGATTACCCAGTTTTAATTTGATCTTATTTTACATTTTTAGAAGTATTATGGTGTTGACTCATGACTCTTCATGAATACTGCTTTTTATAGCTGACTTTATTACCTTTCTCCTCAGGAATGTCACTGGTAGTCACCACAGTGTGTCTTTATTTTATCCCTTTCTGCAAGACAGCAGTGTTACTGATTGTCATGATGTCGGTCATGGGTGTTTCATTTAGCATTCTGGATACAGGTGAGTGAGGCCTTCATTATCAACTCTGGGATCAGGTCACTACTGCTAGGAAAAGAAGGATGGAGAATAGTGAAGTGTCACTTGCAATGCCCTTGAAATGACATAAACTTTTGAGCTGTTCATGAGGTCACCCAGTGAGAACCTTCCTTCTAGTAGCTACTCTTTTTACCAATTAGGGAACCAATTTCTGAGCAGCCAACTCTGAAGTGAAATTAAAATGATTCAGTTCTTTGAGAGGATTGTTGAATTACAGCATCCAAACAGGAAGGATCCCCTCCTGTGGCTAATTTACAGATTTTCATTTGGAGTGTAGAAGTGTATACTGATTTTTACTTTTTTTTTTTCCTGTTCTTTCTCTCTCTCTCAAAAGTTCTATTATCTCACAGCATTATTTCTTCATATGTTATAATGACTTTTAAAAGCTACTAAAAAATGTGAGTTATATTTGTTTAGCACTGAATCCAACTTTCTGTGCCTCCCTTCCCTCCTGTAATATTACTTGATATGTTTTCTTCTTTAATCTTTGTTTGTAAAAAGAGAGATGGAATTATGTATTTATTTGAAAATATCTAATTTTTTAAAAAGCCAGGCTATGATGCTTCTGGCCTTTGTAGATGTTGTAGAGACAAGGAAAGCAAAAGGTGTGCTTGTTCCATGTAACAAGTATGCACGAGTCCTGCAGAATTAAGGTTCCTGGAAGTGATTTTCGTCTGTTTTTATAGAGAAATAAATAATATTCCAAAATGACTATCAGTTGCCAATGTGTATAGATTTGGTAATTTGAGCACTATCTGGTATAAAATTTTACCTAATATGCTGGGCACAATGGTGCACACCTATAATCCCAGTGGCTCAGGAGACTGAGGCAGGAGGATCATGAGTTCAAAGCCAGCCTCAGCAACTTAGCAAGGCCCTGAGCAACTTAGTGAGACCCTGTCTCAAATAAAATATTTCAAAAGGCTGGGGATATTTAAAAAGTGCCCCTGGGTTCAAGGCTTGGTAGCAAAAATAAATAAATAAATTTTACCTAGTAAAAATATATTTTAAATATTTACAATAAATAGGTCTATAAATATTACTCTGCAGGATGGTGTTAGCACTGTTATAAAAATTTTCTGTGAAAGTGTCTGGCTCTTGGAGTTAGTTCCTGTAGAATTCCATGTATGTGTATGAGATGTTGGTAAGGCATAGCCCTCTGGGGGTCATAGGTTAAGAGTTCCTTAATTAGAGAATTGACTCAGATGCAATATTTGATAACTTAAAACATAATGCCAGGTAATACAAACTTAGCCTTGTTTTCACAGTCATGTTTTTTTTTTAAATTTTACTGAGTTTAACATAAAGCATTTTTCCATCTTTTCCTGGCAGGTGGTAACGTCCTCATCTTGGCTATTTGGGGGGATGAAGGAGCCCCACACATGCAGGCCTTACACTTCAGTTTTGCCTTGGGTGCCTTTCTGGCTCCAATTCTGGCTAAATTGGCACTGGGTACCTCAGTGTCTGCTGAAAACCACACAGAGCCTGCCTTTCAGTCTCCAGCCACCAACGGATCATCTGAAGCTGACTCAGCCCCTCTGTTTGGATTGCCTGATGACATGAATCTACTCTGGGCTTATGCTTCTACCAGCACTTATATTTTCATAGTGTCTCTCTTTCTGTTTGCTTTGTTTTTCAAGAAAAGCTCAAGGCAGGAAAAATCAAAACCATCTGCTCAGGGATATCGAAGAGCTGAATATCACAAGACCCTTCTCTGCCTCCTTTTCTTGTTCTTTTTTTTTTACGTTGGAGGAGAGGTAACATATGGCTCTTATGTTTTCTCCTTTGCCACCACCCATGCTGGCATGGAAGAACATGAAGCAGCTGGGTTGAACTCCATCTTCTGGGGGACCTTTGCAGCCTGCAGAGGCCTGGCGATCTTCTTTGCTGCATGTCTACAGCCGGGCACCATGATTGTGTTGAGCAACATTGGCAGCCTGGCTTCATCTTTATTTCTGGTGCTTTTCAACAAGAGTCCACTCTGTCTCTGGATTGCCACTTCGGTGTATGGGGCCTCAATGGCAGCGACGTTTCCCAGTGGTGTTTCCTGGATTGAGCAATACACGACCATAAGTGGGAAATCTGCTGCATTTATTCTAACCGGTGGTGCCCTGGGACAAATGGCTATTCCTGCAGTAGTAGGTGTGGTTCAAGGACAATACCTGGATTTGCCAGTAGTTCTGTACTCCTGTTTGGGGGCAGCACTATTCACTGCTCTTATATTTCCTGTGATGTATAAAGTAGCCACCTTGCCTCTGGATCGCCAGCGAAAAGAAGACATCAAGAATAAGAAACAGAAAGCTTTGCCCTATAGTCCTGGGATATGAAGAAGAGAATGAAGGGAAGAAGAGCAAAAATGGAATAAAATAGATTTTGAAGTGGTTGAAATGAATGATACAACAAGGCATATTATCATAGAGACATCTGGAAATATTCTGTTATCTCCAACCAGTTCCTCTCAAGTGCACTAATTTTTTTCTCTGTTCATCTACTTTATTGCAGTTAGCTCTCAATTTAAAAGTTCACCAATACACCAGTTGAACAAAAGTAAAGATTATAAATTATTCTTCTTTCAGGAAAATAAAACATACTGTGATTTTCCAAAGCCAAATGTCAGTCTAAGATTTAGAACAAAGGATAATTGTGAAACTTGTAAAGGAAAAAACAATCACTCATGATGACCACATGAGAAAATCTTAAAGAAATTCTATTTCTCACAGACATTGTCTTCTCTAAATTAATAAAATTTATTTTAACATAAACTGTATTTTAAAATCTAGAAACAACTTTAAGTACCAAAACATAATGCTCTAAGGCCACTTTCACAGCTTTTTTTGTTTGTTTGTTTGCTTGCTTGCTTTAAATGCCATACAAACAAATTAATGAACATTTGACCAAATATCAAATGCACCAATGTTTGAGTCTTATCCAGTTACACTAGTGTTTCTCCTCAGAATCGTCTTGCCAGAACCAAAATAAAAGGTACTAACAGAGAAGACAGATTACTTACTGACTTTATTGAATTATCTCCATCTCCAAAGAGAAAAGTCAGAAGACAGCATAAGCCTATTTCCAGTCTGCTTTGGAGATAAAACTTTCCAGATTCATTTATAAGAAATGCTAAAAAAAAAAAAGTTTTTGAGATGTGCTATTCTGAGTCTTCTATAATCTGCCAAGTGATCTCATAAACACATAGATCGTGTTGTGCAACTAGTGTTGGGTATGAGTCTGATTAGATAATATTTTACAATTTCCAACTTCCAGACCATGTGAACAAGCCATTTGTCTTTGAGAACTTGAGTGTTGTTTAATAGAGCAAAACCAGAGGTGTGGATTGAATTTTCTAAGAAAATTATTAGGCATATATACTGTGCCTGGAAGTTAAGGGGAGTACTTTCATGAAATAATTCCTTAGAAATAGACATTTAGAAAAAAATAATTCTTTATTTGTAGTTTCAGACCAAAGAATATTAATGCATCACTTGATTTTTTTATTTGTTAAAAAAAGCACACACATACACAACACAGAGAAGGTTGCAACAGACCTAGATTCAAGACTTGTCTCTGGTTTCTGGCTGTAAATGAGGTACTTAATGAAAGTCTCATTTATGACACCTCCTTATCCGAGACCCTGGAAATGTAAATCATACGATTTCCAAATTGAATATTAATACATTTTACAGTTTGTGCAAAATATCTCCTAGATTAAAAGTAAATGCCAGCCCATTCTTCATTTCAACTGAGAAGTGAAAAAAAAATGATAACTAGCTTTAAGGAAATGCTACTGATTATTATTATGTGCCAATTTAATTCACATAATATTTAATACATTCTTTGAATAATTTTCTGTAGAATACATTTCACTGATCCTAAAATATGCCTTTCCCCCATATTTTAATTACCCTAAAAATCAGAATCTTTTTTTTTTTTAAAACCAGTGAATATTTCCTCTGGTGGAATTTGAAGATATTATGTTCTGATTGTAAAAGCTATGACAGAGTGACTACATAAGTACTGGAGCTGTAAACCAGGTGTTTTGAGGCCTTGTCTGGGTCTCCCTGTTTCAAGGTTTCATCCTGGTTTTCAGTGGTAATTACAACAGACTGCAAGTTCAACTTATAATGGAGCACAGTCTTTTCTAGAGATGAGATATTTGTATTACCCATCCAGGGTTCCTCCTCCCTAAGTTTGAAATACCTGGGAAACCAAAGTAAAGACAAGAAGGTGTTTTAGCAGCCTGGTGTCAGTGTTGAGAAAGAGAACTCCATCTGAGTGTGGCTTATCCTTTGGTGTGGCTATGCTTTGATAAATGAGTAGAACTGATGAGTGATTTTGCTTCCCTCTCCCAAAGTGTTGATCCTGAATGACCTCTAATTTCTACCTGAGTATAGTATGTTTGCTTTCTCTTATCTGATTTCTATAAAATTTCCTTTGGGGAAAAAAAAATTGCTTTGGTTTGTCTTAAGTGATAAACACAAGTCTCTTGTGCACAGGTCTTCACATCCCACGCCCAACACAACCGGCTCATGGTAATAGACGAACAGCTTGGAAGAGGGCTGGTGGAGAAATGAACAAGAAAGAGCCTCTTTCTCTTTTTTATATGCTACTTTCCTTTAGTGAAAGCTTGGAAATTAAAGCTCTGCTCCCTTTGCTGTTTTTCCTCAGGCTGTTGGGCCTAGACAGTCAGTTGTTCAGCTACTAGGGGACTGACTCATTACTACAGGGAATCTACCCTCAGCTTCTACTGTTAGACGGTAGAAGATGGAACAGAGGGGAAAGAAACACGGTCATGAGAACATGGCATAAAATTTGGAATGTACACTGGAAAAATTCACTAGGATTCCACAGTCCAAAATGGGAAGGTCACTGTGTAGTCAGGTTTATTTTACTATAACATATAAATACCCAAGACAGTCCACTTATAAAGAGAAAAGGTTGAATTTGGTTCACAGTTTTGAAGTTTCCAGTCTACAGTTACTTGGTTCTGTTGCTTTTGGATCTGCAGCAATGAAGCACATACATAAAGCCAAGAGCATGTGTTGGAATAAAACTGCTCACCTCATGTCCAGGAAGCCAAAGAGAATTAGAGGGGTCGGGGTCCCAAAACTGCTTGAAAGGGCCCACCCCAATGACCTAAAGACCTCCAATAGGCCCCACTGTTAAAGGCCCCCATCAGCTCTACTAGCTCCACTCGGCACCAAACCTTTAACACCTGGGTCTTAGGAGAACACTTGAGATTCCTTCTATAGCATTTGCCTCCACCCACCTAAGATTCATGTCGGTCCCATTTTCTTACCTGCCCATTCACCCAAAATGCATCCGGTCTATCTCCTGGAGTCCCCAAAGGATGCTCAAAAAACTGAAGTCCAAAGTTTCTTTTGAAACCAAAAGCAAACTCCTAATTATAGATACCTATAATAATGAAAAACAGGGCTGGGGGTATAGCTCAGTGGTAAAACACTTCACTAGAATGAACAATTCCCTCGTTCCGTTTCCATATTGTTCACATATCCACACAAAAAGAAGAAAAGAAAAAGGAAATTTATATACTCCATGATATGATAATGGGACAGAGAAAATAAGTATTCCCTCCAAAAGGGATGAATATGAGAATAGAAAGGAGGAATTGAACTACATCAAGATATTAACCCGTGAGGTCAAATATTAAGACCTACAGCTGCATGTCTAGCATAGAGGTACACCATGGCAGGAAGTGATCTCACAGGAGCTGGCCAGCCTCACTCCTGTGGCCTTGTTGATTTTACCCCACTGGCTCCTCTCCTGTGCTAGCTCTGCTAATTGCCTGTTCCTTGGAAGGTATTTCATGCTACAGACTTCACTACCTTCCCATAGTCTCTATTTTAGCTCTGCTTCACCTCCACAGCTCCATGCTTTGCCCTGTGAGGGGCTGCTTGCAGTGATTCTGACTCTGCAGCACTCTGCCTAGTTTCCCATGAAATCTTTGGAGAAGCTTCCTTGACCCAATAACTTTCATTCTGTGTGCCTGCAAAACCAGCATCCCGAGGACACCACCAAGCTCTGCCGTGAGTGTGAGCTGTACTGGGGTCTACTTGAACCACAACAGCCTCTGAGTGACTTGCTGGCTAAATGCAAGAAAAACAATCTTTCAGTGTTTGGGGGTACAGGTGGCATCCAAGGGCTCTTTTGGAAAGGTTTTGAAACAAATCTGCATTTCTACACCTTTGAGCCTGTGAGGGGAGGGGTGGCCCTGCAGCTATCTGAGATGCCTCAAGGTATTCTTCCTATTGTCCATGGCTCCTTTTTACCAGTGCAATTAACATCATTCTTGGCTGAAAGTTTACACATGATCCTTATTTAGACTTGGTTCAAAATTTAAATCTTTCTCTTCTGTTCCTTTGTGTTCCGGATTTTCTCTGTAAATTTGGCTAAAAGTAGCTAGCAGTGTGAATGCCTCTACTCGAATGCTTTCTCTCTTGAACTCTTCTCCACACAGTAAACTAGCCCATCATCTTTAAGCTTGGGTTAGTTTTTCATCACTATGACAAAGAAACTTGAGAAAAACACCTTAAGGCAAGAAAGACTTATTTTGGTTCACCATTTCAGGCTAGCTCCATTGCTTCAGGCCTGAGGCAAGGCAGAAAGTCATTGCTGAAGGACATGGAAAAGAAAAGTGCTCATTTTGGGTGAAAGTGCAAGATAGGGACTAGGGGGGGGGATACCATCTCGAAGCTTCCATTTTATCCTGTATTTAACCTATCCAAATTGTCGCATCATATATGTCATTTCAGTTATTATAGAGGCTTAAAGTCAGGAAATGTTTAGGTTTAGGTAGGAATAGGGACAATAAAAATATATGTAAGCCATATCAGCTTAGATATAATAACTCTGCGCACACTTAGAGCATTATCTGCTGTTTTTATCTCACTTCTTTGAACTCTTAAGCAGCAATGAGGCAGATGGTATTAGTCTTATTCTGTAGAGGAAGATATAGACTTAGATGCATTTTCTCTCAAAGACCTATTGTTACTGTTGCTCTGAGTCTGACCTTTTTATGCTTTCAGAGAGGGGTTTTGCAATGAGGCCAAAGTTTGGGATCCATATTCTACAGAAACCTGCCATTCCCCAAAAGGAGCAAAGCCAACGCACAAATGGCCCTTATCCTGTCAGGAGATTTGGCTGGTCCCTGGAGTTAATATATATCCCAAATGTTTTACCTTCCAGTGGAAGATTTGGACATTCCTTTTAGATACCTTATATTCTCTTTTTGCCAAAAAATGGAGTGTCTGTATAGTGTTTTTGTTGGAGATCTCCTTGGTTGGACTACGTATTAATAGGTCATCTACATAATGAAGAATTTTTCCCTGCTTGAGCTTGAGATCATCCCTTAAGACCCTTGCCAGGGCCTAGGTAGAGAAATGAGGGCTATCCCTAAACCCCTGGGGAGGACTCTTCATGTATATTGTCTTTCCTTATTAAAAGGATTTTTTCTTTTCAAAAGTAAGATATTGGGATTACAGATGCAATGGGATTAAAAATAATGCATAATTAAGATCCAACAGCATAAACCAAGAAGTGTTTCCTGGTATTTGGGAAAGCAAGATATAAGGTTCTGCAACTAAGGGGTGTATAGAGACTGCAGCTTCATTAACAAGTCTCAGGTCTAGTACTAGCTGGTATTCCCCACTAGGTATTAGGATGGGCAACATTGGGGCATTACTGGGGGATTGGCAAGGTTTAAGGAGCTCATCTATAATAGGGTATAAACCCTTTTTTGTCTCTTCTTTTAAAAGATATTGTTTTTTATTTGGGTATTGGCTGGGATGTTTTAGGGTTGTAGGTGTTGGGTGAGCATAAATAGCTTTTCTTGGTTTTTCTGTGTACCAAGCCAATGGATTTACTTGAAAATTAATCTCTTCAGGGATGGGGCCACAAATGGCCACAGGTTGTGTTTTAGGTCTGGGTCCCTAGTGGAGGAATGCCCCCAGTTTGGCCATTATGTCTCATCCTACCAGTGGAAGAGGAGAGTTGGAGATTATTAGAAAATCATGAATAAAAACCAGAGGATCAACTTGGCAAGATATGGAAGGGATAAAGTATCTTTCCGTTTCTCCCTTCAAGGCCTACCACAAAAGTGGATCTGGAAGGTGGCTGGGTGTGGTTCAACTGTAAAGTGCTTGCCTCCCATGTGTGAGGCACTGGGTTCGATCCTCAGCACCACATAAGAGTAAATAAACAAAGACACTGCATCCATGTACAACTAAAAAATATATTTTTTAAAGTAGACCTGGAAGAAGATTTTCCTTCATAAGTGATCAAGCAGAGCAACTAGCTCCCATATGGACAAGGAATGAGATTTTCGTATCTATAACATCCAAGGCTTCTCTGGTCACCCCAGGCATCCTCAGTCAGCATTTTCTACATCTAGGAGGACCTATGTTGTTAGGATCTTGATTGACACAGTCCCTCTTTTGGAATGGGGGCAGTCATTCCCCCCAGTGCCAGGGTGGTTTTACCACAGGGTGGACCCAGTAGTAGCTGTCAGAAATCTCTTGCCCAATGCCCTGTGCTGTTATACTTAAAGCAGGAAGTCTTTTTCTGGAAGTCCTCTTACATTTCCTCTGGACAGTTTATTGGTCTCAAGGACATTACCAATTATGGCAGCCATAAATAAGTCTGGCTCACTGTCAGTCTTTACTCTGATCTTTCCTACTTTCCTCCAAATCCTGTTGTTGAAGACTGTGACAGCAGAGTCTCGTAATTGGCTTCTGTTGGTCTGTGACCCCACCTGGATATATTGTAATTTTTCTCCTCATGTCTGGGGCTGACTGGCTAATGAAATATTGGCCCAATCGGGCAATGCTTTCTATAAAGGAAGGGTTTATATTGGTATATTTCTGGAAGGCCTCATCTAACCTGTCATAGAATGCTTCAAGGTTTTCATTTTTTTCCTTGGGTAATATTAATTATTAATATTTCATAATTTATTGGGTTTTGTATGCCCTTTTCCATCCCTGCCAAGAAGATGGGTTGTCTTTGTCATTCCTGAAGGAGTAATCTCAACAGGGTCATTCGTTGGAACTATCGCTTCCACAGGGTGGTTTCTCTCTGGAGTGCAGGCAAAATTTCATCATCTTCCCTACCTCAATGATTCATTCCCTCTCCAGTAAGGTGCAGAATACTCTTAAGATAAACTGAATGTCTCTCCAGGACAAATGAAAGCCCATGGTTAGGGTCTGAAACCCATCAGCAAATCTATCTAGGTCTTCTGAATATTTATCTATTCTTGACTTACACTGAAGAATGTCTGTAACAGAGAAGAGAACTTGGACCCTTATAGCCCTTTTGCTCCAGCTGCCTCCCTGAGGGGTAGCATAAGGGTGTTGGGGTCATAGGGACCATAATGACCTCACTTCTGATATGTTGTTGGCTTATATGCTTTGGAGAAAGGGGTGGCTTGTGGGGTTCCTCCCTGGGAGGATCACATGGAAGTGCCCCCGAGAGACAGGAGGGCAGGTTAATAACAGGTCATCTAGGATATTGGGATTTGGGGAAGTTTCCTTGGGGGTTCCTCATGGGAACTTGTCATGGCAAAGTGGATTTTGGTAGAGGGCCATGAAGGCTTAGACATAGGGGACTTCCAAGCACTTGCCTGTTTTCTGCAATAAAGGTCCGGTTGCAAGATGGTATTATAATTTTGGCTTCCATTCAGAGGCCTTTGTTCTGAATTCCCTAGCTTACACTGGGGCCAAGAATAAACAAGTAATCATTTTTCCCTCAAATTGTCGGGGCCCAAGCATTTTCAGTGAGGGAGGATATATCCATGAGGGGAGTCCTGCGAAAGGGAGGTGGTCCCTTCCATGTTGGCTGTTCTGTAAGAGAAGAGAGTTTCTAGGTCTTGTAACTAGAGCCCTGAATTTCAATCAAGGCATCCCTCTGGAGAATTAAGGATGTTGGGATTGGGTATTTCCTGGGCATTCCCATAGAAATCCCTTAATAACCTTTGTGGCCAGACTTCTCTGGCCCCTGTTTTGGGTGAGCAATTTTTTTTTTTGTATTGGGGATTGAACACAGGGGCACTTAACCACCGAGACCCCTTTTTAATATCTTATTTAGAAACAGGATCTTACTAAGTTGCTTAGGGCTTTGCTAAAGTGCTGAGGCTGGCTTTGTCCTTGCTTTCCTCCTGCCTCAGCCTCCCAAGCCACTAGGATTCCAGGCATGCACCACAGCACCCAGCAAGCACCACTTATTTTGAGTTCCTATGATCAGGACCATGAGCTCCCTGTCTACCAATCTGGTATACAATTTTCCTCATTCTCTTTTGAATATGGACTCTCCTTTTGTTCTGGACTCTTTTTAGGAGCCATGTAACTCCCTGGTGTTTTCTTTTGCTCCTAAAAACTTGGTAACTATTGTTATTATTATTTTTTATAGTGTTATTTAGTCTCCCTACTCATAGGACCAAAAAGAACCCATGTAGTCCTATTTATGAGAGGCTGCTAAATGGCATTCCAACCTGTCCCTATCCTACTCTTTGTAATCTTATTAAGCCCAGAAAATGGGCAAGTGACCCAGTTTTATTTTGGCCTTCTTTCTTTTGATTGATGGTTAAAGATATGGATAATAACTACAGCTAGTAGCTCCCATCCCTCATAGGGAATTTCAGAAAAATATCTAAAGAAAAGACAGTAAGGATTTTGGAGGAGGTGATGCCCAAAAGCAGGGAAAAGTGATTGACAGAGAAGGAGCAACAACTCACAGGAGGCAGAAAACGGCTGGGCACTGAGAAGAAGGGAAGACAGTGCTATGTTGAGCTCTGATTCAGCTAATTTCCATTTGGAGAAGCCACAGGATTGAAGTAATTGGATGAGAGTACAATGTGCCTACATTGGGGAGCTTTGTCTTGCATCCAGCACAGATTAAGTCTTAACTGCAGCCCACTACTGGATTATCCTGTTATGGGAATCTTTATGCAGAGGGCACCCTAGTGACTTTTAACTGCCTGACCTGTGCCCCCTGAGAGTGTGGCAAAGAACCAAGAACTCTGACATGACATTATGAGCAAGCAAATTTGTTGAGAAGTGGAAGGAGAGCACATAGGCTCATGAGGAGATAGAAAGAACAAACAATGAAACCAAAATTCCAACAAGCCAGATCAAACACGTGGCGGGAAGACTAAGCAACTCTGTACAGAGTTTCATAAGGTCCCAGGATCTCCACCCTTCCAGGTTATATATTTCCCAATGTTTTGAACAGAAGTAACTTCTGATCACCCCAGTGATGCCCTGGGGGGCCACTGCAGTTGCTGCTCAGTCTGCACTTGGTATTGTTGGAAAGCCTGATAGAAAAGAGAGGTGGACTTATGCAGGTGTGATGGGGTATGTTCCTGGAAAGTGGCTTCTTCCTGGCTGGCCAAAACATTACCATTGGGATATTCAGCTGAAATTCAGGTCCTTGTTGTCCAAGGGATTGAGCAAGACATACAGAAGTAACAGAGTACAGATTTATTGAAGGTGAAGATAGTACTCTGTTAGGTAGAACAGAGCAGGTTGAGTGAGAGAGAAAGAGGCTCAAGGCCCTGATGTCTGGAAATCAGGTCTTATATCAAACTGTGAAGTGTCCTTTTCCCTACACAGACCTGATTGAAGACCTTATTCCATTTTCTCCTATTGGTTATCTTATTATACCTAATTAGAATATTTCCCCTCATGGTTACTTTAGAAAACCTAATTAGAATACTGCCCACTTTATTTCCATTGTTCATTTAAAAATTTGAACCTGTGTTGGGCGTTGTCATGGTGATAAATCCTCAGTGGCAGAAGTTGTCATGATGGGCTGGGGATGTGGCTAAAGCGGTAGCGCGCTCGCCTGGCATGCGTGCGGCCCAGGTTCGATCCTCAGCACCACATACAAACAAAGATGTTGTGTCTAAGAAAAAATAAATAAATGTTAAAAAATTTTCTGTCCCCCTCTCTCTCTCACTCTCTCTTTAAAAAAAAAAAAAAGTTGTCATGTTAATGGGATTTACTATAAATATGGCAGGACTTGTCTCCTTTTCTTGTCCTCCAGCAGCTTCTTTTTAATATCCTATCTCTACCATCATGGTGTCCTGAACTCCTACCTAACACTATAGCTTATAGGAAATTGAGCTACACTTTAAGTTTAGGTTTGTATGACTCCAAAGCTCATTAGACTCTAAAATCATGAAGACAGAGATCAGTCTGGTTTGCTCCCCAGTATATCATGGAATGAGAACGCTAAAGGTCACTGTCCTTTCATAATGTTGTTCTTCCCCTTTACTGAGAAGAGAATGAAGGGGAGAAGCACAAAAATGAAATAAAATGGATTTTGAAGTGGTTGAAATGAATGACACAATGAAGCATATTATCATAAGACATTGGGAAATATTTTGATGGAACACACAGTTGTTGTCTGCAACCCATTCCTCTCAAATGCCCTGTGAATTGACCTATTGAATGAAGTGGGTGGTTCATCTTCCTTATTTACAGATGGTCCACTTGAATCTGGCTTCAAACTCCACCTGTCTTCAGAATTGTTCCAGCTCCTTGGGTGCAAGACTTAGGGGAACATTGTTAATCCTTTAATTCACCAATTATGTATCAGTAATTTGAGTGACCTCCATGTGTTAGGTGGTGCCCTCATTTTGGGATATGCTAAAAGACTAAATTAGGTTCTCTTAAAGCCTCTATACTTTCCTTTATATCATTAGCACAATTATGAAGCCATAATTTTGTGTAAGTTTACTTAATAATGGTCATCTCATTGCTCTATGAAGTTTATGAAAGCAGGAACTTTGTCTCTTTTGTATGCACATTTGCCCAGCATTTAGTAGATGCTGCCTCACAAACACTTCATGCCCTAGGATTTCTGACACTTGCACTTTTAGTTGCTTTACACTTGAAACACCTCTTTCCGTACAGCAAATTCTACTTACCCTTCAAGCCCAGATGAAATGCCACCTGCTCTGTGAACATTGTACAATGCTTCCAAGTGGAATGAGTTCCTCCCTTTCATGAGTTTCCATAGCCCTTTGTTTGGACTGTTTTCACTTCTGCTGTAGCTAGAATCCTGACTTCAATAATCAATTTGTTTGCATTGCTTCAACTAAATAGAAGATAAGACAGACCACCACTTCCCTCCTGCTGGCCTGACTTTCATTTTTAAGGTTCTGTTATTTGTCATTACCTTGATTTCCAGGGGCTCCCCAATGAAAATTTTAAGACAAAGGGGAATGAAGGGAAGGTAGGGGGACGGGAATAGGAAGACAGTGGAATGAATCTGACTTAACTTTTCTGTATATCTATATAAATACACCACATTATGTACAACCACAAGACTGGGATCCTAATTAGAATAAGATATACTCCATGTTTGTATAAATATGTCAACATATACTCTGATGTCATATAACTAAAAATAATGAGTAAAAAAAAAGACACACACTTTAGAAATCAACTAAAAACTTTTGTGATAGTCAAAGCAAGAAATAAGGAGGATAGCCAGATGTGGTGGTGCACACCTGTACTCCCAACAACTCTGGAGACTGAAGAAGAAGAATCATGAGTTTGAGGCCACCCTACACAATTTTGCAAGATGATATCTCAAAATAAAAAAAAATAATAACGGACTGGGAATGTAGCTTTGTGGTCAAGTACACCTGTATTCAATTCCCACTGCAAAAAGAAAAAAAAAGGAAACAGGGGAAAAGAAAAGAAAGAAAGAAAGAAATGAGGATAAGAACTAGGGTAGCAGGAAGCAGGAGTTGGAAGCAGGGTGAAAAGATATTAAGGAAGGAAAGTGAGAAGGATTTAATGACCAAAGGGATGAAGCTGGAGAGCTGGGTTGCAAGGAATGGCAAGATTAAGGTTTTTAGTCTTGGAACCTAAGAGGATGAGCAAGTAATTGGATGGAAAATGATTTTGTCAGAGAGATGTTAAGGAAATCTTTTACATCACACTTCGATACTGCAGTTACAGAGCAGAAACACAAAGCTGGAGTGAGATGCAGATAGGGTCTCCTGAAGAAGAAGACACGACCGTACACCTGGGTGGGTGGTACACACCTGTAATCCCAGGATATTCAGCTACTCCAGTGTTAAGGTCTGTAGACAAGTCAAAATAACACGTGGTATTTTGCCAGAGAAATGTTAGAGTTCGTAAACAAGTCTGGATGGTGCCTGGCAAAATGCCAGAGGGAGTGGTTTGAGAAGTAACAAAAGTGAGCCATTAAGTGTGGAGATTCCTTATTGGTTGACTGATGTATCTAGTTTATGCTAATTAGATAAGCTGTGCAAAATGTATAAATAGCTCTGTTGTCCTACAATAAACGGCTTCCATTCCTGCTGCATCAATGTACACAAGTTATTCATCACCCTCCCAGTCATTCTGCTACAGCCGGACTGCGGCACTCCAGAGTCTGAGGCAAGAGGATTTGAAGTTTGAGGCCAGCCTAGGCAACTTATGAAGATCCTATCTCAAAATAAAAAAATAAAAAGGGTTGAGGATGGCTGGGGTTATGGCTTAGTGATAGAGTGCTCACCTAGCATGCATGAGGCACTGGGTTCAATCCTCAGCACCACATAAAAGTAAAATAAAGATATTGTCTCAACCTATAACTAAAAAATATATATATTTTTTTAAATAAAAGGGTTAAGGATGTGGCTCAGTGGTAGAGCATCCCTGGGTTAAATTCTCAGTACAAGAAATGAATAAATAAATAGATATGTAAATAAATAAAATAATAGAAAGGGCCAAGGATTTAGCTCAGTGATAAGGAGCTTGCCTAACTTGTGGGAGGTCCTGGGTTTAATTCAAAGTATCAGAAAAAAAAAAAAGAATATAAGGCCTTTCCTTCTCAGCTGATATAACATTCCTTGGCATTCCCACCAAGCCATACCCTGATCTATTTCCAAACAGTATTACCAGCAAGAATTGAGTCTTCTTGGGCTATCCTTATCCTGTTCTGCCACTGATTGGCTGATTGACCTTGGGCAAGTTACTTCTGACCAGTATGCCTTAATCTTCTATCTATGAATCCGAGGATCAGACTGCCAAATCAGTTTAGCACAAATTAAAATTTTTACCAGTATCAAGCTTTATGGATAATTTCAAATAGAATTAATCTAAGTATCAGAGGAGAATTATTTGCATTTTTAAAGATTGGACTAGATTATTTTTCTTTCATAGGTAAAGGGAGAGAATAAACTGCAGACCATTTACTTTCCACAATGCATGAAAATTAAGGAGTCAAACACCATTGTTATACTTTACTGTAATAAAAAAAGATTTCTCTCACATGCATTTATTTTTCATTTTATTATAAATTTTGTGCTATGGTAGATCAGAATTTATCTCATACACGTGTGTGTGCATATACACATTTTAAGTATATTGATATTTTTAGGAGAAAATAGTGGAGCCAGAGAGAGATAAGCAGAAGTGAAATTTTAAGAAAAGATAATAAAAATGTAGGGATGATGTAGCCTACACAACATTAATTTTCCTTTTCATACTCAAAGAATTCAGATTGGGGTTGGAGACAGCAATGTTTAATTCAAAACAATATCTTAACCTCTCCTGAAGATTAACAGTGGCAATGTAACCCAATTGTGGGCACTGATATGCAAGTAGAAGTGAGGTTTCTGGGAAAATTTCTTGCCAAAGGGTCAGGTTCAGCTGACATATGACTTTTCCCTTTCTTCTTCATGACTGGAATATGGATTAGTTCCGGATGTGGAGCATCATGTTTTGACCACAAAGCCACCTTGAGGGAAGGGTCAAGAGGAATGCACAGACTTG